AAACTCCCTCTTGAAAACTTTGTAAGCCAGTCACTTCGTGCCATTATAGCCCCTTCCATTTTACGTAGCCAGTGTCTAAGTTGCCCATTGCTCGTCCCTATCAACTCTGTATACAGAGGGGATAGGACTGATTTTGAATGTGAAGACTCTTTCCCTCTCAGTATTTTGAGCTACCACATCCGTAAGTATAGTGCCTTTGAGTCAGTTCCAACCCATAGCGACCCTATACAGGGTTTCCAAGGAGCAGCTGGTGAGCTTGAACCACCGACCTTACAGTTCAAACAGCTTTGCAGTCTGGTGCATTAACCCACAGTGCCACATATATATATATATGTTCTTAAGTACCGTGGAGTCGGTTCCAACTCATAGCGAACCCTGCACAGGGTTTCCGAAGCTATAAATCTTTACGGGAGCAGAACGCCTCATCTTTCTCCCACGGAACTGCTGGTGGTTTTGAACTGCTGACCTTGAGGTTGGCAACCCGGCTTGTAACCACTATGCTACCAGAGTGCCATATGTATATGTATGTGTGTGTATGTGTATATATATATATATAAATTTTTTTTTCCCCATCTTCTTCTGGTCAATTTCTGAGTTCTGATCATCAAGGCATTGAAACCAGGTTGAATGGGTGACTGTCTTTCTCACAGGTATATGGATTTGATCCTATCACAAACAGCATTGTATGTCAAGCTAAATCTTGAAATGCTCTTTGTGACGCCATTCCTCTTTAATTTGCCATTCCTTTCATAGTAAACCATATGATTGTGTCAGTCAAAATGCCCAATACCTGTCCATTTAAGCTCACTATATCCTAGGATATTGATATTTTGCATTACATTCATTTTTGGCAACTTCTACTTTTCAGAGTCATGCTTGGTACATTATATTTTCCAATTATTAATGGATGTTTGTAGCTGTTTCTTCCCATTTTTTAGTTGTCTCATCAGCACATGAAGGCCTTGAAAACTTTGCCCCATTCACGCTATATTAGGGTCAACTCTACTTTGAGGAAGCAGCTCTTCTCCAGTCTTGTTTTGAGTGCCTTCCAACCTGAGAGTCTCATCTTCTGACGCTATATCTGACAGTGTTCCACTGTCATTCATAAGGTTTTTAGTATGTAACCATTCAGAAGTGATTTGCCTCTTCCTTCTTCATAGTCTGTCTTAGCCTGGAAGCTCTCCTGAAACCTCTCCACCATGGATGATCCTGCTGAGATTTCAAATACTGGTGGCAGAGCTTCCAGCATCATGGCAACACACAAGTCATCAGAGACAAGTGGTGGATACAGGAGCAAAAAAAAGACACAAGAATCCAAGCAAACAAATAGAAAAAAAGCAACAGTGCTTGGATTTCAAACTAGTAAATAAGGCATTATAACACAAGGTGTCTGAGAAATGTGCTCTTTTGCTGCAAAATAGTTCCCGTTGCCGTTGAGTCAATTCCAACGCATGTGGACCGCATGTGTTTCAGGGTAGAATTGCACTCCGTGGCTGTAATGTTTCAGAAGAAGATAGCTAGGCCTTGATTCAGTGCACCTCCATACCGCCAACTTTTTGATTAATAGTCAAGTGTTAACCATTTGGGCCACCCTTGGAATCCCAAAATGCAGTTAATGATATTCATAATAGTTACTCAGGGTTATAGGAAAATGCTGAATAATCTCTATAGCAGGTCCTCCTAATGAATTTTGCAATACATTTTAGAAAAGTTTTTATCTAGAGTTAACAATATAGAGGACAAGCAGTGGTCTGTGAACCACAAAGTTGGCATTTCGAGCCCACCAGCCACTACATGGGAGAAAGGTGAGGGTTTCTGCTCCTGCACAGATATTATACAGCCTGATAGGATAAGCACTGGATTGCTCACTGCAAGGTTGGTGGTTCAAACCCATAAGCTGCTCCTCTGAAACCCTGTAATAGGGTTACTGAGTCAGAACTGACTCAAAGGCACTTGAATGCAACAAACCCTGTATAGCACTTAACATTTCAAAAGTGTTGGTTTTTAAGGAATCACCCAATAAAGTATGTCACCTGGGTGTCTGTTGTGTTTCTCTCTATGGGATGTGTCTGTTTCTGATGATGCCAGATAAAAGGGTTCTCTAGTCTGACTACATTTAGGAATCTGTTTCTAAAATGGGACAGGGTCAAAAAAAATTATCAAGGTATATGTTACAAATTTTTCATTTGCAGTGTCTGACATAGTTGTTGTTAAATGCTTGTCGAGTCAGTTCCGACCCACAGAGACCCTGTATAGGGTTTCCAAGGAGCCACTGGTGACCTTGTGTTCCAGAGCGTTAACCCACAACCACCCAAATATTTGTGATCTGAAGAGGTGTGCTCATTCTTTCTGAAAAAAATAGCTTGTCCAATTTAGATTATTAAGAGCTTTCTGAAATATTTTATTGGAAATTCTCCTGACTGGTTTTATATTTGTTGAATCATAGGTTGAAGACTTTAAGTGACAAATCAAGAGAAGCTAAAGTAAAAAGCAAACCCAGGTAAGCTTGTACTAGCATTTTATTTACTGCATCTTAAGTTGCATATATTTTTTTCCTGTATTCATAACAGCAGAATTTCTTTCATGCATTTCATTTATTTTTAAAGCTTTTATTATGAATTGAGTGAAGGTGTACGCATCAGATCATTAGTTTTACATTTAAAAAATCTTGGCAATGATTATAATCCCCTCCAAGTACCTTCAGTTGACAATTTTTACCTTTATTTACCCCCCTCTTTTTTTGGAAGTACATACACCACATGGAAATTACGTATTCATTTAAATGTTCAAAGGGCACCTTTTGTAAGCTAGCCTCCTGCCCACAGGCACACTGCCTTTCTCAGTCCATGGGCCTTTAGTCGTTAGCTGCTCTAGGTCTCTGCCATCGCCTCTGCCACCATCTCTACTGTTGCCTCTATTCTAATTATGATTACACACTTCACTCATGCTCTTCTCTCTTGATGATCCTAGGTACCTCTGTTTCTGAGTGACAGATTAACTGCTCCCTTCTTTGAGTTATGCCTCTTCTACATTTACGGTTGTGACAATCACCATTAGACCTGATAACCAGTTACTCACAATTGAATGGTAAAATCCTATCCCCCTCAACACCATATCCATCAGGACAAGAGGAAAAGTATACATTGAGGATTCTATTTACCCTCCTCATTGACAGTAAGCGCCCTCATGAAAGCTTGTAAGCCGGCCTCTTGGTGCCATTATGCTGCTGCTGTTGCTAAGTAACATCAAGGCGAGCTCAGACTAGGCCTCCATTATTTTTCCTTGTGAAGTATTTAATTTCAACATGTATTTTGGGGGGCGGTGCTGGGGGGAGAATGTACACAAAACACTAATGAATAATAAACAACCAAAGTATCCCTCCCCCCATTTTTTGATAGCCAAAGTCTAAGTTGCCTGTCCCTGTCAACCCAATGCACTGAGGAAACAAGCTTGATCCTTGATATGAAGAATCTTTCCTTTTCAGTTGGAATTTTGGGCAACTACATCCATAAGCAAAGGTCCAGTTCTTCAAATTGTAGCAATTCACACTTGCTCCCTATATCAAACTTTTAAATTTTCATCTGGTCAAGTACTGGTGAGCAAGCCATCCAGGCGAGGTCACATGGGTGCTGTCTGAAAGTTTGGGAGTTCTTGCACGGCTCCCCTCCTTCAGACCAGCTGACCACTTCACTCTTAACTCTAGTCCCTAGTGGTTAGGTCAGCGTTTCTGGGATAGGGAGTTCACACGTCTCCCTGGGCTTCATACCAGCCAGCCCTTCCTCCTCTCTTTCTCATCTTGAGGAGGTCATTGTGTGTCTATGGAACATGGTCATACTCAGTCCATGTCTTCATTGCTGCATTGCACCCGCTTCCACTAACAAGTCACCAGCGAGCATATAAGACTGCTCGTGTGTTCCCTTTGAATTTCAGTCTTAGAAAGGGGTTTACGCTGGTGGGCTGTCTTTCCTTGTCTTGATGGCTCCAAGGCAAACAGCTTGCTTAATGTTGTCATAGCCAAAACA